CCTGCTTCTCTTACATTACCTTGGTCTGCTGAAAACTCAGATAAGGGACTTGGCAGAAATACCATTAATTTTTCTGCAGTAAAAGAAACGTCTGGGAAATTTCACCACAGTCTGTTCCCTAACTTCTTCTAACCTAGATGCCAAGTTCTGCAGATCTTCCTTGTATACACAGTTTGTATGAGCGCCTCTAACTCATATGAGTAACAGTTTACACAATTGTATCTTACTATTTTTCAGTGGAATAAAAATACTTTAACTCACTAGGCTTGAGCTGAGAGAACGCTCAAGAAGCAGATTTTATACATGTCAAGCAGTCTCTAAATCTGGACTACATATTGACATTTTTAGAAGTTATTTTAACATGATTACAGATAAACCAGGCTGTTCTGAAACATATTACCACAAAGCCAAGAAAGGCTAAACCTTCAACTCCCATTTTCTAAACCACTTACAAGGTTTCGAGTTACGTTTATGAAAAAAATGTGCAAAATTAGTCCAAGTAAAGCAAAATAAAGCTCATCAGGATCCTCCTTCACAGGATGCCAGTGAAAAAGCAACTGTATATTCATGAAAAATATCAGTGGAGATAATTCATATTGCTTAAGCCATTATTTATGTGAAACGTAAAATAAAAAAAAATAATTTAATTGGCCAGATAATACTCCATTCATGGATCTCCGTGACTTTTTTATCATGTAACACACTGATATTTTGGAGATAAATATAATACTCAAATGTTTTATTTCCTTGTTTAAATTTTATTAGCACCTGATCTTCCTCTAGCAATCCCAATGAGATAGTACATGAATACTGTCAGAACAAATACTGTTTTTTCATGTTCTCAAGAAGACTGAGATGTTGAAACGAAAAACAGTGAAACCAGCGTGCAGCTGGTTATTCATTTGGCAGTGCCAGTGACAGGCTTTCTGTTGGCTGATTCTGGCTTAAGGGTAAAGCTTACAACAGAGAGAAGGGTATAGTAATTCAGCTTGACCAGATGCCAAGTTTGTGGGTATAACATAAAAGTTGTATCTTAATCATAGTCAGCTGATGCAATGAAAACATCTGCATAATACAGTGTACAGAAACTTCTGAAAATGTAAAAATAGAACACTTACAGGTATGAAAAAAGAAGCAATTAATTTACAAGCTAATAAATGACAAAATCTAGAAGTTTTACTTCAGTTCAACAGTATAGTCCACTGCAGAACACAAACAGCCACACAGCTAAAATTTAAGGATGCCACACACCACTCAAATTTACTCTGTGAACTTTGATTTTAAATGTTCTTCATTTAAATTCCTTACACCAGGAACTCTAGACCCCCTGTCAGAGTTCATACTCAACACTGTGGCTGGACCTGGGTTCTTGACTGGCACTCAAAATTTCCTGTGATAAAGAAATGTTTATTTTAACGTTGCCCCTAATTTTCCTCTGGAAACAAAGCTATTGCCTTTGCAGCTTCAAATCTGTTGGTCAATTTCAAACCCATTTGGGAGGAAATTACTTTTATAGTTTTCTCAACTACAAAAACTTTTGCATTTTTCACTTTTTATTTAAGGTGGGAAAGTCCCACAGCTCTGCTCCAAAGCAAGTCCAGTAGGAGAATGGCCCACCACACCACAAGTGCTCCCAGTTCTCTCTCAGATCAGGGTTTTTTCTAATTGCTGTGTTACCTGCTCTCTCCAACTCTTTTTCACTATATCTGCTCCCACCACCATAGCACACGACATGCAATCAGCTCCTCTGGTCTCAGAAAGTCTGTATTTGGATATCAAAAGCGGCTTTGGCCATTGCTACGTAAAGTTAGTCAGCTTGCACCATGTTCTACCTGACTTTAGGATCATCTACAGTTGCAGCAACCACTGACTTCAGCAAACCTTCACACCTGGGAAGCAGCAAGGAAAAGAGGCAGAGCAATGACAAGAGGGAAAGCTGTCAACATCAGCAGGACTGCAGAAGGGGCCAAGGGGAAAGGATGTGAAGCACACAGTGGCAGGCAGCCTCCCGCCGTGTTCCCCTCCTGGGATGCCCAGCCGAGGCAGCCCGTCCTGTCCCTCCCCTCCTGAAGGAGCATCCCCTGTATGTAGCAGGGCCAACGTCCCTGCTGGAAATGAGCCGGCTGCAGGACCCAGCTGCAGGACCCAGCCACAGGGAAGGCAGCACAAGCGCCTCACAGCCTCCCAGCCTCTCTGCCCTGACAGTATTCCCAGAATCCGAGCACAGGCTAGAGAAGGGGTGCAGCACAACCACTGACACCAATCTGCGCTGCGTCTTCAGTTCCAGAAATCTTCCCCAATAGCTCATTTGAGCGTACAAGATCGAAACAGACAAAAACTGGAAAAGCATTGGTCACAGAATACATATTTCACAAGAAAAATGAAATTAGCTGTCAAGCTGCACAGCCTCTTTGTATTCAAGCATCGGAAGTGCATTTGCAACTGCGTATTTCAAACCTTGATACAATAAAAATAAATGCCCTGGGACTATGAAATTATTTGTAGCTTTTCAAGCCATTTGAAGATAATGAACAATTGAACAGTGACATGTACTTCAAAAACTACTCAGAAAAACATTCTTCCCATAGGCATTACAAAGCACTTAGCTTTGCATTCTTCTCCTCTACTGCAGGTATACACGTAAAAAAACCCCACGTTTCATTTTAGTAGAAACCCAGAACAATAACAGTATAATAGAACAGCTAGAAAGTGTACAAATAGTGAAGTGATAGAATTGTACTAAAAATAACAATTGCAATAGCAAAAACATTTTAAAAAAGTTTTTTCTTTTGCTTATGTAAGCAAAAGTGTTTCTATTATTGCAGTTCATAAAAATATCTATAATTTCTTATTCAATGGAAAATTGTTTTAAAAATTAGAAAGAAAAAAATGCAGAGGATAAACAAAAGTGATTTAATTACTTTACCTTACTCAAAAGCTATGGTAAGACCCAATTGTCATGATAAATTAGGTTGCTGGGATTAATTGGTTACCTATTGGAACTGTCCTCTTCGGGGAAAAAAAAAAAACCAAAACCAAACCAGAATGTGATTTACATAGATGAGCAATCTGTATTTAAGAAAAGATCAATACTGGAGTAAGAAAGATACTTGAACCTGAATCATGGTGCATTGCTAAGATTTTGTGAGAAACCTTAGTATGAAGTAACTCCACTACAGAAACTGCTGCTTATAGAATATTTACTGGAAGAATGGCCATGGGAAAGTATGGACTTAAATGTATTTTGATAAGAAATGGGTTTCCATGTGTCCATAGTCTACTCCATTACTTGCCCCTTGTAATTAAAAAGAAAACAAACAAAAATGCAGAAAAACCTGTGAAAACATCCCCTGGGATTTATATTGTTCTTTGCAATCATTTCAGAAAGCACCAGTACAGAATTAAAGGACCTGTGGTACAATTAAAAGGAGTAAAATTTCATGCTCTGTGGACGAACGGTAATTAAACCCTTTATTAATTTCAGTATTATTAATTCCTACACTGGACTAATTCCAGCTTTAGTAATTACACTTTTCTTACCTACATTTTATTCCTTCATAATTTTCATAAAGCTTTTCTTTTGTTCTGATGGTTACTTACTGTAAGAGGATTGCTACTTGAGATCCTTGGGAACAAAATTTAAATCAAATAGAGTCAACAGAAAGCCAACCTCTCAACTTTGGGAAGTTGAGTCACTATACACATTGCTGCTTTATAAAATTCCTTAATCCCCTGTAAGTGATACAGAAAGTCTTCCTACTTCCTCATAGAAACACCAGTGCTTAGTACTCTTCCCCATTTAAACTAGTGAAATAGAATTCCTCAGCGCTGAGTATTAGAGGTTATCGCTTACCATATGTCACATGCTATAAATTGAAGACAATATACTTTAAAAGCTTTATATCACAGTCAAAAATCAAGAAATTTCAGGTTGTCTATTCAGTCTCACATGTAAGAACACTAAATTTTCAAAATTCATCAGACCACAGATAGAAATGCTAAGCAACTTGAAAGTTATAAAGACTGTCCTGCAAAGGTAGTGGGAACAGGTGAATTTTTTCCAATGCAAAATAACTAGGATGGAATGTACGTGCTTTTTTTTTGCAATTCTGCTTAAGGAAATTTATTCACCTCTTAACTAGTAATTAATTCTATACAACTGCATTCATAGCAAATTGTAATGTACCATTTTTCAACCATTCAGAAAAACAAAATTAAATACAAA